GGCCCGGGTCACTCATGTGACTTACACATTTAATGGAGTCCTCTTGTTGCTGCTTTTAGAATAGACCGTTCAGGCCAGGCACGGTGGCTCACACCGGTAATCCCAGCACTTTGGGAGGCCAAGGTTGGTGGAATCACTTGAGGCTGGGAGTTTGAAACCAGCCTGGGCAATATAGCAAAACCCTGTCTCTACAAAAAAAGAAAAATTAGCTGGGAATGGTGGCATGCCTGTAGTCCCAGCTACTCAGGAGGCTGAGGCAGGAGGATTATTTGAGCCTCGGAGTTTGAGGTTCCAGTAAGCTGTGATGATGCCACTGCACTCTAGCTCAGCTGACAGAGTGAGACCTTGTCTCAAAACAAACAAAACAAAACAACAAAAAGACAGTTTGGAAGCTGGTGCATCAGTTTGGAAGCATTTGGAATAACGCAGGTGAGAACCCAGGTGAGAAGATGGGACCTGGCCACATCGTGCTTTAATGAGGAGGCTCTTGGGCTTGGGGTTGCTGAGACAGGTCTGCAAGGGGCGGGTGTTGGCATAGAGGTTCTGGGTGGGACGGGGGCACAAGGAGGGGGATGGGACCAGCGAGGGCTTGGGGCAGGCTTGGGGCCCCTCCCAAGTGAGGGGAAGAGAGCCCTGACCAGCAAGGCCTAGGCTGAGCAGGCCCCTCCGCCTCCCACTGCTCGCCCCCTCCCCGCAGAGCCCATGCGGATTTGCTGAGCGGATGGCCTGGCGTGGGAACCAGCCGCCTGGCCAAGACCCAGCTCAGGCCCCTAACTCGGAGGGGATTAACGCCCAGACGTTGTTGTCACAGCCAGGTCTTGGGAAGCTGAGCCCTGCCTGGGTGAGGCAGGTGGACACAGGCTTGGGGCCTGAGAGTGGGGGCTCCGCGTGGCTATACCTGTGGCCTGGTGGGTTCCCCCTTGGGAACCCCTTCCGAACAACATTCCCTACGAACTTGGCCTGCTCAGTAAAGGGGCCTGGAGCTAGACTGCCCGGCTGTGAATGACACTCACTCGCTAGTGGCAGTGACCTTGGGCAAGGTACTCTCTATGCCCCAGTTTCCTCCGTTTGTTGAGAGGATTGAAGAAGACGATGGAGGGAGGGCACCAAGCCCAGAGCCTGACCACAGCCCCTGGTCGCCCCACAGGGGACTGCAGCTCCGTCTCAGCCACGCCCTTCTGCTGTGACAGTCGAGGAGCACATTTGGGAAGGGGGTTGGGGAAGGAGGCACTGACCTGGGCGGCAGAGCAGGAGCCCTTCCCCGGGGAGGGCACGGGGAGGCCAGGCCCAGCCGTCTTCTTCTCCCACCTTCCCCGTCTTGGCCAGACTTCTCCCCGCTAGAGAAAGACGGGCACGTCTACACCTCGCTTGCAAAGAGCTGCTCCCATGGCAACTCTGCCGAAGAGCTACAACCCTGTGCTACGCCTCTTTCTTGCGTTATCTGTCACCCACCCCCCCGCCACCTTCAGGACCGAGAAAGATTAAGTGACTTGCTCAAGTCGGGGAGTCAAGATCCAAATTCAAGTGGGTCCGACTCCAACATCCAAGCTCTTAATGCTCACTGCCTTTACTACTTCCCGCATGATTTGCATATATAGCTACTT